CCTGCCTCAGATACCCCTGAAGTCTGGCCTTTTCACTAATGGTTTCATTGAAGTCATGGTTGATGTTGAACCCAGGACCTTCTTGCTGTGAGGCAACAGTCCTAAGCCACTATGTCATCCAACCATCCATCCATTATATTTTAGCTGCTTCTTTCTTTTTGGGTTGCAGGTGGTCACTGGTGCCCATGTCCAGCTATCACTGTGAGAGAGATGGGGGACACCCTGGACAGGCCTCTAGTCGATGACAGGGACTCTCTCTCTCTCACGCATAGGGCCAGTTTAGAGTTACCAGTCAGCCTAACATGCATGTTTTTGGTCTATGGGAGAAACCTGAGTACTCAAAGAAAACCCATGCATGCACAAAGAGAACATGCAAACTTCACCCAGAAAGGCCCCCAGCCGGGATTCGATCCGGCGACCTTCTTACTGAGAGGCAACAGCTCTACCAACAGAGCCACCGTCCATCCCCACTATGCCATTATGCTGCCAAAGTAAGATTGTTAGTAAAGTGAAAAACAAAATCCATCCATCCATCCATCCATCCATTATCTTTACCCTCTTATTCCAATTTGGGTCACGGGGGTCGCTGGTGCCCATGTCCAGCAATCACTGTGCGAGGGGCGGGCGGGGTACACCCTGGACGGGTCGCAAGTCCATCTCAGGGCCACATAGAGACAAACGAGACAAACAACCATTCACTCTCTCACTCACACCTAGGGACAATTTAGAGTTACCAATCAGCCTAACATGCACGTTTTTGGTCTGTGGGAGGAAACCGGAGTACCCGGAGAAAACCCACTCATGCACGGAGAGAACATGCAAACTCCACCCAGAAAGCCCCCTGGACCAGGGTTTGAACCAGGGACCTGCTCGCTGAGAGGCAGCAGCTCTACCAGTTGCGCCACCGTGCTGCTGAAAAAAAAATAAAAAATCCTGTAAGGCAATTCATGACCATGTAAGTCATTGAAGGCAGTGATTTCCAGTTGGTGGACATACTATCTCTTCTTTCAAGTTCACAAGGATCCTTCCCCCATCAAGAGACACTTTTCATTTCTTGATTTGTGTAACATTTTCTAGATCCACTGTCACTGCTTCCATTCATTGTCACATATGGCAAATCTTAAAACCCAATGGAGGAGGCAGTAATCAGTTACAGCTGTGCTGCAGTTTGTAATGTATCTGTGTTTCCCCTAGTTTACTTGCCTTGGCAGGGCGCTCATATCATCCATGGAGACTGAAACATGTCTGTGTTGCCTGAGTTGGGAGTTCGGTAGGCAGGGCGCTAGGTTCTGCTGACAGGGCGGGGTGCCCTGCTTGTATAATGGTAGGGGGAAAGTGCATCTGTAGACTATCGAGAAGAAACAAAGTGGTGGACAGTGCGCTAACATAAGTTGTGAGAATGCAATCCAATAACTTTCTTAGCATAGCTACTAATTTTCTTTAGATAGTGTTTTGGAGCTACAACAATAGTTTTCAGTTGACACGTTTTTTTTTTTTTCTAAACATCAACAGTTTATCTACACATTTCTAGCACAAAACTGAAGTGAAATTCCTTTAGTTGGAAGACAGCTCGGTCAGTGTAGAATAAATGTTTTAAATGTGCTAGTGTTGGGATTTCCAGTGCAAGTTCATCACACAAGGCAAAAAAGGACATTCTTAAAGTCGGCTTCAACATCATAATTTCCCCCCAAACCTTTTTTTACATCATGTGCATTAAACAAAATACATTAAAAAAAAACTCTGTTAAGCTTTAGCCAACCAAATTATTGTTTTTATGACAAATAAAGGTTTAAATTTGACAGAAAAAGTATGTTTTGCAAAGCATCCACGTTTTTCAGTGCATAACTTTGCAGAATGATGTTCTGGCTGCTTCACCTTCTTCACAGTTTTTATTCAAGATAACCAGATGCTAGCTGTAAAGGCTATTCATCTGGCAGCCCAGGGGTCCAATCAGGCCCACGGATCAACTCAGTTTAGCCTGTTATTGGATTTACTTTAAAAAAAAACTAGATTTTAAACCATAAAACAAACTTACTTAATGACAATAATTACTGGATGATTGACCCCTGAGCTCTTGGATTTTCAGTAACTGTGGCCCTGTGGCAAATTAGTTGAATAACCCTGCTGTAAGTGTTTATCTAAATGACTTTTTAGCTGGTTGTTGTTAGGTGAAGGTCAAAATCTATCAGATCAAAGTTGAACTAAAAACAATTTGCAAATGAAACAAAAGCTTTTTTTTTTTTTTTGCTATTTATATATGTTTAACAAAATAAATAACAAAAAATGCCCCAAAGGTAGAAAGTTGAGGATATTTTAGCCGTATTCCCTCACAGGACACAAAGCTATGCAGCAGTTATAACAAAACTTACCATTAAAACATTTCAGATCTTTAGCTCTGTGCTTTTTAAATCATAGTGCATTATTTGAAATTATAAATGTATATTACATTGACACATTATGTTCAGCATTTAATTCTCTTCCTCAAATAGAAAGATATAAATTGAAAAATCAAACACTTGTGAATTTCTACAATATATAGATATATGGATACTAGCCTTTCAAACCTATATTTGCCAAACCTTGGATGTCTGAAACTGCAGTGGGGAAGCTTTTAATTATCTCCAATTTGAAAGGGTCAAAGACACTAAAACACATTGTGTGACAAAAATACTGAGGTGACCATTATTAGACTAAAAAGGGGTCAATTCCTGTATTAGGGAATCTATTCAGGGACTGGGGGTTACACGTAGATTGCTGGATTTGATATGATGCAGGAAGGTAAAGGTCTTTAACGAGGAAGTGCACTCTCCCCTTCTATTTGTATGGTCGTAGGAACCTGGTGACTTTGGAGCGCAGCAGCTTGATAAAAGAGCGAGGAAACATCTCTCTGGACTCTGCTGTTGTGTACTTGAAGTAGTTCTGAGGGTGGGCCAGAACATCAAACAGTGCTTTTATCAACTTCTTGTCCTGTAAGAAGTTAAAAAAAAAACACGCCAAAAGAAGTCAGATTTCTGTGCCCATCTGACAAAGAAAGAACATGCTGTATAGTATGGCTCATGCTTTTGATAAGTTTGACTAGGGCTTTATTAAATACCTTAAGTATCTCTTGGTGATTCTCAGATGCGTAAAGCCTGCCATCTCGCACTATATCTTCTATCAGCTGCTGGTAGTCCTCTACAACACAGAAGTGTTAATGAAAAATTAGGGGGGGGCATAGATCCCTGAGGTATGTCACTTGAAATGATCAAATTTGCCACATAAAATTAGCTATCACTGAGGTATCAAAGCTAATTCTGCTGAAGTTGACACAAACTTACCATCGTATGTGACATATGGAACTTGGAACCCTTTTCCACTGTTTCCTTCATTGGACTTAAACTGAATCCAAAGCTTGCGAGAACGAGAGGTGAAGGCGATCGGTCGTTCATAAGTCTGACACGTCTCATAGGTGGTGATGGAGGTGGGCAGTGCTGGAGGAACGGTACAAAAATATTTATTTTTTCCGTATTCAGAGTCTTTTACTGATAGTTCAAACTATGAAACTACTATACGGGGGAGGCTGTGGCTGAGTGACTAAAGCAGTCGTCCTCCAATGAGAGAACTGGGGGTTCGAATCCACCAGCAGTCACATGCTGAAGTATCCCTGGGCAAGACACTGAACCCCTCATTGCCTCCGATGTGTGTCCCATCAGTGTATGAATGTGATCTAAAGCACTTATTAGTCTCTTTAGAATGATTTGTTCAATTAGCTTTGTAGAGATCTAGGGGTGGGGGGTGGGGGTGTTATGGAACATAAATTCTACAATAAACGAGGGACTAGTGTATTTCCAATTACCTCTCTTCTTCCCATGACAAGGGATTTAAGTGGTCTTAAATGACGTTTGCTGCTAAAAAAGTGTTATCTCATTTTTGCATTTATGTCTCTATTTACCACTCTTTCTCATGACCAGCACATCGCCACACTCGTCTTCAATGGGGAGGAAAATCTCTGGTACAACAATGAGAATCCGCCTTTTATGTGGAGGGTTTATGGTCCAGACACAATCCACATTTGACGGGTAATCTCCAGGGTAGTTAGGGGACTCGATGTAACCCATGTAATCTCCCAGTTCTCCTCCACATATCTGGTCTGAGGAGAAAACAAAAGGATCATGTTAGAGGAACATTTATTTCATAAACCAGATCCTCTGAAAACAGCACCGTTTTGCCTGTGGCATGATTTCTCTGCCACAGTGAATGTCTAAAATCGCCAAATTTCTGTAGGAGTTTCAATTTTTCTCCTGCAGCTTCAAGACACAAGTTGATGCCAACCATAAACATCTGTGGACTATTCACTTTTTTTTCATTTAATCTTTATACAGGCTAGCCTCATTGAGCTACGAGGACTCATTTACAAGAGAGGCCTGTTCCAGAGAGAACCAAAAAAGTACAGACAACATTAAACTACATTTAAAATGCAGTAAAATAAAAAAAGCATTTCCTGATGCAAAAGTAGCATTATGAAACAATAAATCAGGGTGCCGTAAAACAAGGTAAAATACTAAAAACAAGACCATAATTGCTTTGATGTTTCTATTTACATTATCAAATGTTTAGAATCCCATAAAGAAATTAAGGTGGACAGCTTCAGTTCCTGTTGCAAGGTGTTGCAGGTTGCAGGAGCAGGGTATGAAAACGCCTTTTTGCCAAGTTCAGTCCACACTGAGGGAACGCTGATGGTAACGATGGACTGGGAGCTCATTTTGTAACTGCACTGATGATGTGACATGTGGGAGGAGATATAAAAAAGGTATCAGACCAAGGAGTGATTTATAGATGAAAAGAAACCAGTGTGAAAGCCAACATGCAGATAATCAAGGTCAAGGTCAAGGTTTTCTTTATTGTCATTCGCATCTCATGTGGTACATGTGGTGGAACAAAATTGTGTACACAGGGTCCCAGTTACATCAAACAAAAGTATAAATTGTAAAAGTAAAACAGTAATAAGATCTAAGATATGAACTACGAAATACGCTAAACTAATAATACAGTAAACACTTAATAGTGCTAAAACAATATGCTGAACAACAGCAGTACGAACATGAGTCTGTGTGAGCAGATGAGTAGGAATGACTACAGCAGCATGAAATAAATCAGAAAAATGAGATCAGCAGAATGGATAGTCAACAGCACATATCAACAATCAACTGGCATTATCTTGTTTTTTGTTTCACAGTGATAATGTCACGATTCACGCCTGTCTGAGTTTATATTTTTGTCACTTTGTT